ATTTTCTTTATTAATAACTATAATTCTATTTCCTCTTAATTCTTTAGCTAATCTTAATTTAGCTAAAGCTTCTGGACTAGGCTTATAGTTTTTTAATTTGGCTATAGTTTCTCCTCCGCAGGCTAGAGGGCGTGAATGTTTACGTCCTAATGTGTGCGCAAGCTACTGCTATTTTTAATATATTATACTCAGGTTTTAATAAATCCATATAATATTGTTCTCATTTAAATAATTCCTTAATATCACAATATTTTATTATATCTAATCTAAAATTCTCATAACCATGCTTCATCAATGCATTATATATAAAACTATTAAATCTTGAGAAATTGTTAGTCATATGGTTATTAGACAAATATCCATAAAATCTACTTGTTAAATTAATGGAACTACCTACGTAACTTTTATTATCTATCAAATTAACCCGAATCCCTGCGGGATAAGGTAAACACCAGGTTTATTATTATTATCTTGAGAAATTTCATGTCTATTTTTATAAGGATTAAGATAACTTACAATAGGTATTGTAGTTTCAATATTATTATTTTGATTGTGATTATTATTTGTTGAATAATATCTGTGTTTATTGACATTAATAGCTACTAAGCATTGTTTAATATCAAAGTTTGTTATGTTTAGTGTAAATTTCATGGTTCTTTTGTGTATATAAATGCCTTTTGTTCACTCGCCACTATCCACGCAGTCCTTCAGGGCTTTGCGTTTAAATATCCTTACCTATGTAGACATAGGACCATGTATCCTACATAAGAATAACTATCACGTTACGTATTTAATAATAGTCATATTTTTAACGTGACAGGTCACTTTACTAACTCGCAAAACAGTTACCTATGTTTACTTTACTTACTCCCCAAGCTACAATGAGGTTCACCCAGTTTTCATCGCATCTCCATATGCACTTTTTTTGTTTGTTATGTAAAGCCGCTTGCTTAACAAACCTAATAGGTTAAGTATCTTGCTTATTACTACATCCTCCAACATATATTTAAGGTAAACCCGACTTGAACGGGTAAGATATTACTATCCAATAGACCTAAACTATTTATGTCTGCCAATTCCATCATTACCCTTCATATCAACATAAAATCTAAATATAATATAGTATAGCTATATAGTTATACTGAAATAATAGCAATAATAAATATCTCTATTTTCTATAGTAGGACTTGTAGGATTCGAACCTACATTTTAATGATTAAAAGTCATACGCATTCACCATTATACTAAAGCCCCTGCCCGTGGTAAGACTTGAACTTACAACTTAGTCGTTCAAATCTCTTAATTAGATATACTATAATTATTTAGACCACTTTTTATTTAAATATTTTTTATGCCCACGGTAAGACTTGAACTTACAACAAAAATAGCTTCAATATTTCACTCTACCAATTGAGTTACATGAGCTTATGTTAGATACTAGGTATCTTTCTTTTATTAATTTATTTAATTTTTTATATCTAACTAATGTAGATAATCCTACATTTAAAAATTCGGCGGCTTCTTTATTACCTAAAAATACTGTCTCCTCATTTAATACTGTGTCTAGAACTTTCACTTGAATAGATCTATTCATTGACATTTTTAACAGGCTTTCAGGAGAATGATTTTTACCATAAAAAGAAGTTTCTTCACCTTTACGTAATACAGCTATTTCCCTCATCTTTAATTTAGCCTCTTCTGTATGTTTACGTCCCAGAGACTTTAACCCTATACATGATTTGGTAATTTCAGTATGTTTAGCCCCTTCGTCTCCCTCCGGGAGTAGAGAATAAGCTATTTTTAATATATTATACTCAGGTTCCAATAAATCAATATAATATTGCTCTCTTTCTATTAAGGTACTTATATCACAATATTCTAGAATATCTATACTAAAATTTCCATAGCCGTATTTTAGTATGGCACTGTAAATAGCACTAGATCCTTCTGCTAGTTTACGCTGAACAGAATTTGTGGAATAATAAATGCTAAATCTACCTCTAATTGATTTAGCTGAACCTATATAACTTTTATTTGTAATTAAATTATTTCAACGGTATATACCTGATTTATTATTATTATCCTTATAAAGAATAAACTTGTCCCTTTCTGCATTAGAATATGTTTTTATGGGAACTATGTTATTATTCATTGTGTTTTTCATTGTTTAAAGTTTAAAAAGTTATGCCCTTGTTCACTCTTTCGAATTTATGAGCCATGGTGTTAAAAACCATTACGAAGCTCTCTTTATAAATTATAGATTGCAGTCCTTTGGGTCTTCATTTAATCCTTAATTTGGTATAATAGAGTTATCTGACCTTCATTAATTATGGATTTAAATTGAACTATTTTAGTTCACTATAAGATCTAACTTCAACGTTCTGCTCGACCAATTGAGCTTCACGAGCTTATTTGGAGATATCAGGATCCGACCCCGAATTAACGATATGCAAAATCGCAGTTTTACCAATTAAACTATATCCCCTTATATATTTACCTAAGGAATGACTCAAACACCCTTGCTTGCGGAGCATGCATGCCGAATGCGTAAAGATTACCTTAGGAAAGTTATATATATTTAGCTGAGACTCTTTCTTCCTTAACAGGGAGATTGCCTCATAATTCTTATACTAATTTCTTAGTTATAATAGTAGCAATTACAGTTTCTTCATTTATTTAAATTATCCGAAGAAGGACTTGAACCTTCAAGACCAGAAGTCTACAAAGCTTAAGTTTGTTGTGTTTGCCAATTTCACCATTCGGACTGATCATTGTCTATCTATTCCAACTTTCAGATAATTTAGGGCTAAAGTGACTTGAACACTTATCCCAGCAAACTCGTTGCTTTACCTGTAAACAAGAAGAAAAGGATCAGATTTTAAGGCTGAAGTGACTCGAACACTTGATAGCACTGTTATGAGCAGCGCACTTTACCAACTAAGTTACAGCCTCTTTATTTATATTTAGAATATATAAATAAGATATTAAATTAAGTTAAGATTTCCTGCTGATGCAAAAAATTCGTGCAAAACAAGCAATCGTTTTTTGTTTTCTTTACTATCATGTCTATCATTTTAATGATTTTTACTGTTATGAGCAGCATGCTTTACCGATTAAGCTATAACCCTTTGTACAAAACAATAGTTACACTATTTATGTAACGGTGTTTTTATGCGAAGCACCCTTCTTAAAAGATCTTTAATGAACTATCTATATATGATTGTTAAATCATATAATAACACAAATATTTATTTAATATATTTTTATTAAATTAAACACGCGGATACAGGACTTGCACCTATATCTTTCGGGCATGAGCCGAATATGTTTCTATTACACTAACCCGCTTAGACTAGGCAGGATTCGAACCTGCGATGGTAGCATTGAAAGAGCTATGTCGTAACCACTTGACTACTAATCCTAATTAGCTCACTGCAAGTATCGCACTACAAGTGAGAGCTAATATTAATTCGCGTAAATACGGTATTCTAATTTTATTCTACAAATTTAAGATAAACTAATTTACCATTAAATAAAAAACGAGTATTTTTTTGTAGTCTGAGGAAGTTCACCTAAAAATTTGGCACTTTCAGCTATAGAAGTAAATGTATGCATAATATCTTCACTAGTTGCATCTAATAATTGAACCATTTTGGAAGTAGGTGAACCTTTAAATCTATTTAAAGATTTTAGAAAAATTCTACCGTCCTTAATTTCGTAATTTGAAGGTTCACTTAATAGTTTAGCAATATCCACTTGAATAAGATCTCTATCAACTTTTGGTACCTTTGAAGTAGATAAACGATTGTTGTTCATTTGACTTAAAATACGCTTTATTAAAGCTTCACCCTCTTGAAGGTAATTAAGCCCTTTTTTATAAAGAGAAAATATAGCCTTTCAATCATCATAATCTAAAAACTTCTTACTCTGTCATGTAAGAGAATCAAAGAAAGGTATTAAAACAAATTCTATATAACTCCTACTTGCTTGCGAAGCCTGCACGAACAATTAAATTTAAAATTCCTCTAGAATCAGAATTAATCTTAACTCAGCTCTCGTTATCTGTCGCACTGTTCAGCTGCTCTAATGGAACTAAGTTATACAAGAATTATCGGATCGCCAACATTAAAGTTTCATTTCCCTTTTGACTAATACTAAAGACTAGGCTTTTATTTGAGGCACTAAAATAAAATGAACCCTCACCTTCGACAAACCCAAGCAATCAATAATTGCTAATATTACAGTGATTTGATGGCATAGTAAAATCTGTTCTTTGTTTGTTCATACTCTCTTTAAGAGATTTTATCTCAGGTTTTAACTCTTTACGAGCTTCTTGGCTATTATTTTCTACAAAAAGCAGGAAAGCTCGTTCAAAAGCTATGAAATTAAGATGTTTGGTTGTGTTTAAATTGAATTTGTTAAAAATTGCCAAAATAATTTCAATTTCACGTTGTGCACTAACCTCGTAAGCAACTTCTGATCTTTTGGTATTAACCCTGACATTTCCTATATGCAAAGTATTTTTAATAAATTCTAAACAGGCTAAATCATCGAGATGTAAAGTAATTCTAAAAATAAATTTGAAATTATGATCCTTTGTTAGCCGGACATCATTTTGTATAATAAAACATCCCTCTGCATCAGTAAAGCCTCTAAATCATTCAAGAAAATTTCGAGATAAAATTCGTTGTTGTCTTTTTGATGACACAGCAGACCCTTTAACAATTACAAATTAAGGATCTAGATGATTTTCAATTAGTCCTGCTAACTTAGAGGATTTAGATTCCATATTATTATATAAATCAATATTTTCAAATTTTCTTTTTTGATTAGTAGTTGTGTAAACATTGTTTATATTTAATGGAGCTTTGTTTACAGGTATAAATTTAATAGTTTGTGTCTTAAAATTTGGAATTGTACTAAACAATAACCCTCCATGTAGACCTAACGCTTTAGTTACTACAGTTAAAGAGGAAAAATCATTTAAAATACAATAAAATAGCCCAGTGGGAGATTCGCACTCCCGTCAATTGGTTACAAAACAATTGCATTAACTAACTATGCTAACCGAGCTTTAGTTCAAAATAAGACTGAAGTTGGTTATATAAACCAGATCTATTCACTCTTTTATGGACTAATAGTTTACTTATTTTTTTAAACTAGAAGATTATGCCCTTCAATTGATTACAAAACAATTGCATTACTTTTATGCTAAGCGAGCGAATATCGATATATTTATAAATAGTTATTTATTAAATTAGTACTTTATTCTTGAAAATCTCTAGATTCTTACGGATAAAGCCTATAATTATTTCGTAATAGTCTATTACGCATATTTAAGAAATATCTTAAGATAAGCTTCGTGCCTATATGCTTTCAGCACTTATCCTTAACTAACTTAGCGTTCCTGCCGTGCTTATGCTATATATTTATCTTAGTGAAAGAAACATCCCTATGTATAAAAATACAGACATATATATAAAATTACATATATATTTAATATTTGGGCACATAAACAACAGGTAAACCATAGATTAGTAACCATCGTTTAACCTTTTTACAGTTAAACTCTTCTTGTTCCTTTCGTACAAAAGTTTGTTCTTATTTTATTCTAATTTCCCCTAGAAGATAGAAACCATACTGTCTCACGACGTATTTAACCCAGCTCATGTAACTTTTTAATCGACGAACAGTCGCACCCTACATAGTTCCTGCATCCATGAGGATAAGTTAAGCCGACATCGAGGTGCCAAACCGCGCACTCATTTTGTACACTCTTGCGCAAATTAGCCTGTTCTATATGTTATCATATTTTACTATTTCCATTTCTTTCAAAATGGTTCAGACTATGTCTTCATTTTTATTTTACACATATTTTAGATTTTCCTTAATATTTATTTACCGCTTATTCAACCTTTAACTGCAAAAGCACCTATACGACGCTTTGATCTAGATAATGAATAAGTTACATTAGATTTAGAGTTTCCTCTAAATAATACTGAACTTAAACGTTTGAAAGAAGAATCTACATTTTTCAATCCACCTTTTCATTTTAATGAATAAATAGATCTATCCGCTCTATAACGTTTAGTCAATCTACCTTTAACTTCTAATCTTATACCTCCCATATTTTTATAACCTATAGAATTGTATATTAGATTATGAATTTTTTTATTATTATCTTTATTATTTGCTTTACCGTTATTATGGATTTCATTTAATAATTTATCTAAATTATTATTATTTAAATTAGAGATTATATTTAAATCTTTATATTTATCTAAGAATAAATCAATATTTTTTTGTCCTTTTACTAAAGTTCTTTCTTTTATTGTATTTATTTTAGGTAAATATGCTCTATTTAATATACTAAACATACTTTTTATATAATTCATTTTATTTTTCTTAATTTTAATGCTAAAGCATTAGTAAAAAGATCTGTATTATAGGCAATAGATTTTAAGTTTATTATATTATATTCTATTTTCTTTCCTATTATTTTGTTTAAAATATTACTTAATATAGGTAAAAGTGTTAATTTATTAAATTTATATTGATTAAGAGAATACATTAGGTCATACTTTCTTAATAATTTTAAATGTGTTCTTCAATATTTACTAATAATTACACTTCAAATTTTTCTTAAATAAAGATGTTTTAATTTTATAAATTTATTTAAATATTCTAATTTATATCTTAAAAATCTTTTTTTAGTTATTTTATCTGATATAAAAACATATTCATCTTTATGTCTATTTAATATATCATATATTTTAGATATATTATTTTTATATAATAAGAAATAACGTTTTATTAAGTTTTGACTTATTTTTTTATTTATTTTTAAATATTTTCTTTTTAAAACTTTTTTCTCTATTTACTGTAAATAAAGTAATAATCGCTTTATTATTTGTATGTTTAATTTCCGCATTACTTACATATATTCTTCTTAAGAATGTACGTCTTCTTCTAAGTAATATAAATTTCTTAGATCCTACATATTTATGATCTTTAAAATATAAATTAAAATAACTTTGAATTATTTTATTAATATTTAAATCATTAATAGGTATATTTTTTAACATATTCTTGTTATAACAATAAATAATATTTTTCCATTCTTTAGAAAAAGCAGGTAAATATTTTGTTTTTCCTATGTCTCCTACTTTTTTCTTAAAGCAATTGTTTTAGGATTATTTTTTAAATTGTTATTAAATATTTTCATATTAAGATTCTTTTTCATTATAATTTTATTATAATTAATTTATTTTATTTTTTTCTTTAAAATATGCTTAATAAAAATGTTGGGTGGTATTAAAGGATTATTGTTTACTGCATAGCACTCACCTTATAGTCGTTGAACGTTTTTATCTTATAGTATATGCTAAGATAAACTTCGCTTCAAGTTTACTATTATTAGTAATTCTTGAAATTTACCCAATATGTATTAATAATTTTATTTTTAAATAAAATATTAAAGGACAAACATCCCTAGCGTAGCTTTTCCAATAATCCAAGATCTTTCCTTGTTGCATCTTGTGATCCTATGCCCTGCTTACGCAACTGTAAGATTTGTCGATAATCAAACAGTAAGGCAAGATTTAGCCGTTGAGCTTTTTAGATATTAAACACATAACCATTATAAATAATAGCTAGAAAATATTAGAAATTTCATAATATTTTCAATTATCTCTAATTTCTATATAGTGAAAATCTTACCTAATCTTAAATATATATACATTAAATGCAAATATAAATAATTGTATATGATTAAAAATAGTTAAACTACTCAAAATAACAAACAAAATAATTATAAATTTTTAGACACTCCTGTTTACTCTTTACAGGGTCTGTGCCCCACATAAACTGTCCCCTAGCGATAGTTCCTTACCAAAGGGTACTTATTTATTTTTAAATAAATAAGTTGAATTAGGTTGATTTACTAAAATGAGCTATATAATAATTTAAAGAATATAATTAATAAATTTAATTAAATTAATAATTAAATTAACTCCGTAAAGTCACATTAATAATAAACTACTCATAATCCTAAACCAATTCATTCATATGAAAAAAGAATAAAGGTTTCTCATTGTCATATTTGTCAATTACCTTATATTCTGAAAATCGTTTATCATACTCTATAATTAGTGACAGTAAAGCTGCATAGGGTCTTCTCGTCTAACTAGAGGTAAACTGTATCTGCACAGCTATTCCAATTTCACTGAGTCAATCATAGAGACAGCTGTTGTATCGTTACACCATTCATGCAAGACCGCATTTAACGGCCAAGGCATTTCGCTACCTTAGGACCCTCACGTTAAGGCCGCCTTTAACCGGGGTTTCCGTCTACATCAAATATTAGTATATTCAATTATATCTGTTAACCAGCCGGCACCGGGCAGATATCACACTTTATACTTAGATTTTTTATCTTTCAGCAAAGTGCTGTGTTTTAATTAAACAGTCGTACAACATTATTTCATGCTTCTTCCTCTTTACTTGATATTAACCAAGAATAATGAGCCCTCCTTATTCCGAAGTTACGGTAGTCAATTTGCCGAGTTCCTTTCGCTCCACAAATTTTATCCTTAGTATATTAAGGACTAGGCTAATGTGGTTTCCTAAATTTGGATATTTTAATAACGGTTGTAATTTATTACTAATTTTATATTAATAACGGTTAGAATTCATTCTTGATTTAATAGAACGAATTTGTTCTAAACCATCTTTATTAAGATGAGCTTTAGATTTCATTAATTCTGCTACTTTTACAAAATCGTTAAAGTCGTCTCTTTTGGCTCCCTCTAAAGGGTGGACTTGGAAAAACGGTATAACATATTTTGTAATATCAACTAGTCCTGTGATCATAAAATCCAAGACTTTTACAGTAGGAGATTGTTTGTAAACTTTTCCAACTGTGTATATATTTGTAAAGCTTTCCAATAAAGCAAGATTTCTTTTATCTTGTGTAATTTTAAATACTAATTTTACTCCTTCACCTAATACAGTATCTTTTCTTTTGTATATGTTTATAAAAAACATTCCTTCACCTTCTACATAACCCACTACCCAGTAAGGATCATAGATTGTAAAATCATCTCTTACAGGTCTTTTAATTGGATTAATTACGGGAAATAAAGATAAAATAGATAAAGGCGTAGTACCAAAATTCATAGAAGCTTTAATATTAACAATTTTAGTTAATCCTTGCATAGTTAAATGTTCTTGATTAATCATTAACTCTACAACTTGTTTAAACAACTGAAGATCTCCTCATTTATCTGTAATTAAAGGATAAGTTTCTAAATGGTTTAAAATAATTTGTAGGTCTTTAATAGAAGAAACTGTATAAACTACTGCACCGTCACTACGTATAGTAACTCCCCCTACCTCAAAAAAATCTCTTATTTTTTCTAGAAGAACTTTGTCTTTTTTATGAAGAGAGATTTGGAAAATTGCTCTTACATATGCACCTATTTTCGAAGTTGAACTTTTTATGATAGAGACATGAAAGCACCCTTCTGCATCAATAAATCCTGATACGTAATTAGGATTAAGTTTGTTATTATTTAATGAAGAAAAATATCTTGCATTATGTAATAGTAAATTACTATTAATTAATTTATAATTTTGTAAAATTTTTAACATTGTTTTTTGTATATATTTAGAAAATTTTGCTGTAAGCGTAATTTCTTTCGCTAAAAAATCCAGCAAACCAGGTTCTTTCGTTTGGTCTAACAATTAAGCTCAGCCTTGCCATACCTGGATATTTATGCCCATCATTTTGTATATACGAAACTCAGAATTTCCTTATTTAACTCCTACAACCTGCAATAGTATTGAGGTAGATTTCTTACCCTACGCAGTGATACTTTCAAGACATACGTTATTACTCGGGAACGCTATAACCATATCCTTGTTAATTTGTATTTTAAGTTTGATGGATGACCCGAATCATGTTTCTGGTTCTAGGCTAACAGATTGTACATACTATTTGTCCATATTTTTATCGGGATTACACTTATAATACATTTAGGTCCTAGGCCTTGGTTTGTTGCTAACTTAACGTTTAGCGATACGTATAATTTTTGTTATTAAATTTATCTATCCAAATTCCAAGTTTCCTTGGGGGCCAGAGTACACCTTACAATATTAAAAAAATATTGAAGAACCGTCTACTCGTTGCTCTTTTACAGTAATATTTTCACGTATTACTGATTTAGATCCGCGATAACCCATTTCTATCTCTAGAATCTACCTAACTTGTTACCATACACCAGTGATTAGTTGGTCCGCTTAAGACTTTCGCCGTTAAGTTTGGTATTAGGAGCTTTAGGGCTTCCCCGGAGTTTGATTCTTATTCACAATGTGGGAGCCTAACCCCAACTTTATGATTGTTAGCTCATTTACGCCTTCGTATTCTCTACTAGCTTACTTGTTTCAGATTCTAGGTACGGTTATTTTATTTGTTATTTTTAACAAATATATTACTATTTTTCCAGCACATTTTACACTAAAATGTTGTTTTTAGTAATAAAGATTCTCTCATCGTCTAAATCTTTAGATTATATAAACTTAGAGGCCGTTACTTAATTACATCCATAAGCTTTAGGCGGAAAATTTTCTTTTAGTTACTCATGTCACCATTCTCACTTGAGTTAAATTATTATAATTTTATTTAAAAAATAAAACTCACACTTTAGCTCAACGTTCTGCTACCCCATTTAATTACAATAAATCTATTTATTATAATATGTTATGGACAAGGTTTCGGTATATTGTTTAGATCCGTTATATTTTCGATGCTTTTATAACTTAACAAGCGCTCTGTTACGAGGTCATAAAATTATGGCTGCTTCTAAGCCTATCTCCTTGTCGACTTAAATAAAAACCCTCTTAATTTCACTTAACTAATAATTTAGGAACCTTAACTCTTGTTCTGGGCTGTTTCCCTTTTGACATACAACCTTATCATTCTATGTCTGATGATTTAAGATATATCTTTGCCATTCCGAGTCTACATACTCACTGATAAAATCTTCACGATCCCCCAATTTGTACAAAATAAAACATTAATATGTCTTGTCTGAGATTAAATTCTGTACCTGCTAAGATATTTGCTTAAATTGCCTACTATTATAGGTTTCGCAGAAACAGTTACAACCTCTTCAACCTATGATTAGGTTAAGCTGAGGTTCTTCTCCCTAAATAGCTATTTGCTATCCATTTAACAAATAATATGTAATTTATTTTTATTTATTTTTATTTATTTTTATTTATTTTTTGTTACCACAACATATTGATTTTTTATAGGTTTACCTGAATCAAGATATTTTCTTACAGCTGTTCTACTTACACCTATAAATTCCCCTGCTTCAGTTAAATTTGTAAAATCCAATTCTTCATTAGTATTTAAATCTTTAACTGTAACTGATACACCTCTAAGTGCAATAGCTACAGCCGAGATTTTAGCACGTGTTTCACTTGAAAGTTCAATACCTTTACGAGCATCAGATAATTTTTTCTCTCTTCTTCAGTCAAGATTCTACCTTAGCGAAGCACGCTGCTAAAGATAAATTCTTTCTTGTTTCTTCACTCACTTTACGATTATTTTTAAAAAATTCTAAGGTTTCCTCACTATGTTTGAACCCTAATGAGTGCGCAAGCTACTGCTATTTCTAAAATGTTATACTCAGGATTTAACAACTCTAAGTAGTATTGTTCTCTTACTATAGGATTTACACCTTCTTCACAATACTCAAGGATTTCTAAATTAAAGTTTTGAAAACCATACTTTAGAAGAGCATTATGTATAGGAGTTTTATATTTAGTTAAATGTTTAACACTATAATACTTATGTAATCTTACAGATAAATTAATTGAGCTACCAATATATGTTTTATTATTAGTATTATTGACCCGAATCCCTGCGGGATAAGATAGATAACTGCTTTATTTTTGTTTTCTGTAAGTATACGATTTTTTTCAATCTCGCAATTAGAATAAGTAGCTATAGGTTTAAAAGTTAAATTTAAATTATTATTATTATTATTCAACATAATTTTTTATATTAATTTAAAATAAAATCTCGTAAATTGTTGTATTTTTTAATATGAAACCGTTACTATCTTAACAAGTTTCAAGCATTAGAAATGTAAATTTCACAAAATAAATAGAAAATTCATATCCCTAGCAAACTAGGTATAACAAACCGGCCTTTCATGCACGCAGCAGAAAAAACCAACCAATCTTTTATAAATAATTTTGTATAAGACAGTTAGCCTTATATATTTTTCAATAAATGTACATTATTATTCTGCATCCTTTCGGACGAGGCTTGACTATATCTTAAGCTTGCGCCAACCTCCATTTAGTCGATGAACTGCATACCAATTATCTGGTACTTGGCTGCGGATTACCCATTTACTTACGTATATCAATTTCGATTTTACCATACCACGAGTCATTACCTGTGCCATAAGTTATGTTACCATACTTACTTGGTTGAAATTGCTTTAGGGCTTTCCCGCAATTTGAAGGTTTATAGCAGAAGGTTCACTTCTACTTACTGGCCTACATAGTTGCTTACACTATATTTTTACCAGCTATCCTAGTCAGTGTTGTCTTTCACTACACCTACCATAATTCTTCCGAGATTTTTGCTACAATCACCGGTTCGGACTTTTATAATCCTGATTATGGTAAAATCACCAGGCTTCGGGTCTAACTTTAGACACTATCTCGTTATTTTAACGTTCGGTTTAACTACGTACTATCTCGCATCTAACGTTAACTTGGTGACCCATTATGCAAAAGGTACGTTCTTTATTTTGAACTGCTTATAAAACTACTATTTTTATTTTTTCCCTCATGGTACTTTTCACTATCGCTTATGTATTATATTTAGCCTTTGAGGAAGGTTCCCCATTATGTTTAAACAGTTTTGATACCGTTTTACTTATTAGGCTGCTCTACTTTCGCTCACGCTATTCATAGAATCTCTTTTGATTTATTTTCCTAAAGTTACTAAGATATTTCAATTCACTTCGTTTATTACAAAATTTCTCTTAGAGTTCATATAATTATAGGATAAGTATCCTATTTATATAAATAATTCTCTTTAATACATAGCTTAAATTCCATAATAGTTTCTTTATATACTTATATTTTTATAAGTAATAGTTATATATCATTTATTTTCTTTTTATTCTTAGAATAAAAACTATATTTCTAATAGTTCTAAAATTCGGATTATTATGATTCGAACATAACTGTTTCCCGCCCCAAACGAGATGCCTAACCTACCCGGCCCTAATCCGGGTTAAGTTTATTTTATATGCTATTATAATAGATAGTCATTATAATTGTAACAAGAGTACTTGGGTTCGAACCAAGAATTTGAAGGTTGAAGCTTCCTATTTTACCAATTAAACTATACTCTTATATTATACAGAGAATATCCGATTCGAACGGATGTAGCTATTAAAAACCTAGTAAAACTCAAACTTACCGCCTTAAACCACTCGGCCAATTCTCTTTTTTTGTGCTTGCTTGCGAAGCCTGCCTGCAAGGAATTTTTTCATTGAATGTCCTTTGATTACATTTCTAATTCCTCAGCGAATCGAACGCTGATGATATTCTTATCAAGAATACACTTTACCTATTAAGTTAAGGAATCTTCTAAATACATATAGGTACTTACGCACTTATGAATGTAGACATATTACTAAATTATTATACATCTAAATAAAAGTTTACATTTATTAATCTTACTGTTATATAATATCCAGTTACAGTTTGACAAAATTTTGTAGAATAATTTCTGATTATTCATACTATGTTATTGTAAAACATAAAGAAGAAGAATTATTTGCATTTTGTGATGAAACTATGAACAATAATAAAGATTTGAATACATTTAAAAGAACTATTTATTATAATAATACAGTTAAAATTTATTATATTAATAATTGAAACATTGATCTCCACTTAAAAGAAATGAATACTAAATTTATAACTTCAATAAATAAAGATATTATTAATTTAAATTCATCTAAAATAATCAAACTAAAGTTATGGTGGCCGTATTTTAATAAACTGTTGTAAATTAAACTGTTTTTGGTACTAGTTAAAACAGAAGTTGCCAAATAACTTATTAAACGATTACCTCCGTCTAAGCCACTACCTACATAAACGTCACCTGTAACTTTGTTAAATCACATATAAATAATAGTTTTACCTTTGAAGTCTTTAGTTGTATAAATCAGACAACAAAGCAACAAACGTAAACTCTTTTGTGTATAGTTAATATTATTAATTGAATTCATGGTTAATATAAAACACGACAAACATCATAAGAAGGTAAAATGTTAATAAAGATTATAGAATAACGTATATACCCGCCCAGGGGAAGATTCTATAGCACTCAGGATCTAACTGAGATCCGAAAGGTTTAACCTCTCTGGTTTAACATAATACTCTATTGAGGTACAATTATAATTGTATCTTTATATACTAATTTTCCCCTGACTCCTCCTCTCGCAATATAAACATTTTCACCTATCTAGTTATTAAGTTTACTTACTAGACAGGTTATTACATTGTTATCTAGCTATAATTATAGTAAAACTAACAAAGGTGTATCATAAATTGTGTTAGAGAACTTAAATATCATTCTTATTAAAAATGCACTTTACCTGTTGTTAAAGAATTTTGAGCAATAAAGGATTTGAACCTTTAACATTTTGTGTGTAAAACAAACGTTCTACCATTGAACTAATTCCTCTATTACGTTATGGTTTATAGTTATTATTATAGCTCCTACCATCAAAAGATTCAAATTTATAATACTATATAATCTTTTATTAGTGCTATATAATCTTTTATTACTAATTGATAATTTAGTATTATTAATACTATAGGAATTATATTTAAGGCTTACCGCTATCTTGTTTAATAGTTATAATTATAGCACCAGTCATCGCTAATAGTAAAATAAAACTAGCAATGAATAATCACATATTATAAGAAGTATATAAAATATTTCCTATTGTAGAGATATGACTAGTCTCAGCCATATTTCCATCTCAACTATTACTTGTTACGAACATAACATTAGCTGTATTTATATCTAAATTTTTACTTATATGAGTAATTATATCATTATATTTACTTGTAGGTAAATAATATATTATATTACTTAATTTATTGTTATAACTATTTATAATAGCTATAGAATAAGGTAGTAATTGGAATAAAGCATAATTTAATAATATTGTTATAAATAATGCTAAAGGAATACTATTTCTATTATTACTTTGTAATTCGCTTGTTCTTATGTTAATTAACATTAAAATGAATAAAAATAATATAGAAACGGCCCCTATATAAACTATTAAGTAAGAAAAACCTATAAATGTTAATCCTGATAATATTAAATAAACAGAGATAGAAGCAAATAATCCTATTAATGACATAAGAGATGCAATAGGATTTTTGTTAACTATAACTGCTATTCCAAATAATAATGCTATTACACTTAATACATCTAAATACTCAACTGTATAACCATTAGATAAAATATCATAAACAGCAAATAATTGATTCATTTTTTTTATTAACCTAATAATAGGGAAAATGTAAAGAATATTGAATAATATATATAGCTAATTAACGTTAAGCAATTCACGAATACGGATAGTCAGACTTGAACTGACACATGCCGAGTGGAAATCGGTAAGTCTACCATTAACCTATATCCGTTTTTATAGTCCAGAGGGCGGCTTCACCAAAGCGCCTCTTCATAAGACTATTTTTATTTAATTTTATTAAATATTAAGATCCTCAATAATACATAGATACATATAAGAATAATCAAACAACATCTACGAAATGTCAGTATAATATTCCACCTTCATATCCAAGATGATGATGATCTGTTAAATGGTATGCCATTATTCTTCATAATCCTACAGATAAGAAGATTGTACCTATAATAACATGGAAACCATGGAAACCAGTTCCAAAGAAGAAACATGTCCCAAATACACCGTCACTTATTGTGAATGAAGAAACGCTATATTCTATTCCTTGGAATAAAGTAAATATTAAAGCTAATATTACTGTAAAAATAGTACCATATAAAGCTCCGGATCTTTCACCTTTAATTAAAGAGTGGTGAGCATAAGTAATTGTAGCACCACTAGATAATAATATACGACTTTAATTAACAAAATAGCTAGGTATAACCTAAAACTATTAAAAGATTTTTACTCTTGTGCAGCGAGCAACTCCGCTATGTGTAGCATGGAGTATTCCTTCTCTTTTTACGATATCACATTCGTTATAAAGTTCGACTGTACATTCGGACAGACATTTCAGCCTAACCCCGGTGAACCAGTCTGTAGCGACATTTACAACTGCCGACGGTCTTTGATTAGGACATCGTTAACCGTTTTCACCTAATTTTTCTATATGTTCATGGAATAAATTCGGTTGTAACCTTCGTTTTATTCCTTTTTATCTATCTTTAATAGCTTGAGCACGAAATACTCCTATTCTTTTTATCTTATTACCTTTATATTCTACACTATCTTCTAATAGTTGTTTATCTAATTGTTTTTTTAAAGTATTAAATCCTATACCTAATTCTTTAGCAGATTCTGCTAAATTAGGCTTTATTAACTTTTCACTACCCCCTGGGTGAGAAGATTTAATAATTTCATAAATACTACTACTTGATCTAGTTTGGATTAATTTTTTTGTCTCTATATCTATCAGACGTCCATCATTTAGGTGTTCAATAGTAGCTTTAGCATTAATTATTTCATTTATTTCAGGTATACTTATAGGTTCTACTGTACCTAAATAAGTAGATAATCTAGAATTATTCATAGTCAATGATAATTTTAGGATTAAATTTTTAATTTTTTCAACACGATAAGCCCCTATGTAAATAGCTTTACAAATAATTTGAAAATCATTAAAATCTAAACCTTTTTTAGAAATAAATTTACATTCATTAAAAAATGGTACAAAGTAATTATTTAAAAATTGTATGTTTTTTATTGTTAATGTAGCAAGAGGTTTACTATTATTAACTGCTTTACCATTACCTATCATAATAATAGAAGAACAATTTAATTTTTCGATTGAGTATGAATCCAATCCTAAATTATTTTCTAAATATTTTTTTATTCCTATTAAAAGAGGTAATTGACTTTCTGTTAATTTTATTGAAAATGCGGGTTCCATTGTATTTCTACTAAGACTAAATGAACCGTCCCCTTCTATAAATCCTAAAAGTCAACTTTTAGTTATAATAATTTCTGGTAATTTAAAATTAGTACGTTGAATATTCATACTATTTTTTATATCTAGTATTTGATTTGTTAATTCTTTAGATAATTCAGTTCTATTAATATATAAATTAAAAGCTTTTTTTAAGTCTAAATAATCTAATCTTTTACTAGAATTAAGTGTGTATACATCAAAAATAGATATTATTTTTAATATATCTTCTTTTTTTGTTACATTATAATAACAATTACTTTTATATGCATAAACACTACCAAATCCTAATTTATCTTTAATATAATTTAAAACATGTAAATCGTCTATGTGTAGACCTATTGAAAATTTAAAAGTAAAACCTGTAGGTAAAGTTAAAATTAGAAAATTTCCTTCAGCATCTGTAAACCCTAAAAATCAATTATAAAATTCTTTATCATTCTCATTACTAATTGTACTATAAGATTTATTTAATTGAGATTTTATTCCTTGTCATACCATAGGTGTAAGAATATGTGGTACTAGTAATAATAAAAATAGAACTAGATTTATAGATAAATTTAACATATAGAGTGGGATTCCTACCCACACAGCTACATTAGTATAAAAATCATTAATGGCACATATAACTGTATTTAATAAAGGTAATTCGAAAGGATTTATAGGCTCTATACCCATAGGCGGTCATTGAGCACCTAATTCAACTGTAGGTGTTAAAGCACTATGAAAGAATGCTCAGAATATAGCTAAGAAGAATAAAGCTTCAGATACTATAAATAATATAACCCCTAAATTTAATCCTTTTTGAACAGCCAGAGTGTGGTTACCAAGGTAAGTACCTTCAGAGATTATATCTCTGAATCATAAAGACATTGATGCTACTACTGTACCTAGGGCTATAAAGAATAATATATAGCTGTTACTGAACAGATGCATAGATAATGCTCCATTTACTGTTAAAGTAAATAAAGATATACTTGTGTATAAAGGTCACGGAGAAGGTGACACTAAATGGAAAGGATGATCTTGAAAATTACTTCTAGTTAAAGTTGTCATTTATATTAATAAAAAAAGAATACAGCTTCATACATTTATTTAAAAGCCCCTAAGATGAATCGAACATCTATAAACGCTATTAACAGTAGCGCGCTTTACCATTAAGCTATAGAGGCAGTTCGGAAAAGAGGTGATTTGAACACCTAAATGTATAAAACATAGCACGTAGCAAGTGCCTTACCCTACCAAATGGAAGACTTTTCCTTTAACGAATTAGATCAGAATCGAACCGACATCTATTTCCGTGACAGGGAAATCCTTTACCTAATTAAGTTACTAATTCTAATAATACTAGGAAATATTACTTTTGAATAAATATATATTAAATTTACTTATTGTATAAAATAAGTTATTAGGAGACAAGAGATTCGAACTCTTAAAAGCAATAGCTATTGAGTTTACAGCTCAACCCTTCTTACCAATAAAGGAACCCTCCTTTATATAATATATAAATTAATATATTATATAATTTAATTATTGTTAATATTAATCAATCCATGTAACTTCCACCTAGGATCTGCAATAAGATAAAACGCACAAGGTATAATAATTTCTATTTGTGCTTGCTTGCGAAGCCTGCCTGCAAGAAAAATGCTCCTAGCTATACGGTTTTTTAATTAAATATTTACCTTTGTAAGGTTTAGTGTTTTTACCATTTAATTTATTCATCACAGTAGAATTACTAGCATTCAAAGCTAGAGCTGCACTTCTAGCTGAAAAGTATTCCGTAATTACTCTTGTAATTAAGTCTGTAACCATTACGGATTCAGTTTTTTGATACGAACCTCGTTCTAACCCGCTTTTTCATCAACCTGCTCCGAACTCGAATCGAAGGATTTACCATAGATCCTAGTAAATTAATATAGCCTTATCAGGTTTTTGATTTTTAAGAAAACAATATTTTTATTAAAAGTATAAACTCTTAAAAAAATAAACAAAAAGGGAATTTATTGTTAATGTTCATCAATCCCGCGCAACTTCCACTACGCGAACCGTATTTCGACTTAACACTAATTAGAGCCACGCATACGAAGATTCCCAATAATAGAATACACAAAACCTACTTGTTTTTTTTACTAATTACTAAGAAAGCAAACTTATTGCGCATGCTCTTTTCAGCATGTGACGAGTGGTTAGTACCAATCCAAGGTTAATTCACCGTGACATGGTGATTCACGATTACTAGTAATTACTTATTCATATAGTCGAATTTCAGACTACAATCCTTAAAATTTATATCCTATTTTTTGAGATTAGCTTAAATTCACATTTTCGCATCTCTTTGTCTAGGAATATGTGGCACGTCTATAGCCCACAATATTAAGGCCATGATGACTTGTCTTTGTCCCCTTTTTCTTTCCAAATTCTAGGATCAAATGCTTTATCGTAAAAAAAATAAAGCCAGGGATTGCGTTAATTTCATGGAAACCACAGTTTCACAACATTAACTGAAAACAGCCGTGCAACTCCTGTAATAATTATACAAATTGTGGTAAGATTTTTCGTGGATCATCGAATTAAACAACATACTTCACTACTGGTGTCAGAAACGGTCTAGTGATTTCAGTTCCTGCGTTGCCACATTACTCTTGAGGTGAAATGCTTACACTTTCATTTATAGACTAAATAATGTTTAATTTATTCAACTAAATCTTAATCTAACCTATGGCATTCATCATTTACTGCAAAGACTACTTGGGTATCTAATCCTGTTTGTTCTCTGTGCCTTCGTCCTTCAACGTCAGTTTTTACATAGAGGGCTGCCTTCGCCTTTACCGAGTCCCTTTGGTATCATAGAATTTCATCTCTCCTCCTCAAGTACTGCCCTCTTACATAAAACTCTAGTCAAGTACTAACATTCTAGAAGCTATATTGACCGTCTAGGTACCCTTTAAACCTAATTAAGATGAATAACACTAGTCTCTTACGTATTACCGCGACTGCTGGCACGCAATTAGTCAAGACACGATATATACACTGTCATTATCAATATATAAACAAAGCTTTATTCAATTTTAATACAATCCTATAGATCATATTCAAAGATATGATCAAAATAGAACTTGCCACTTCTCCAAGTTGCCAGTTCAGCCGTTAGGCCATTGACCAAAATTCCTCACTGCTGTACTAACTTGCATTGGGGTTTTTTCAGACCCAATGTGGTCGATCAACCTTTCAGCTTCGACTACGAGAGTTTTAGGCTAGTTAAGTCATCACCTTAACTACTACCTATCCCGAAGATATTTATTATCCTCTTAAAGCAGGAATTTTTAGTTTCCCTTTATTCATTATGAAGGATTTACCTCCACTTTAAGGCCGGCGAAGAATATCCATATACTCACCTGTACACCACTTTTTAATTAAGAAAATTAAAACGTACGATTAGCATGTGTCAAGCACTTGGACAGCATTCAATCAGAGCCATCACCAAACTCAACTATTATTTTTGATATAAATTTCTTTACATCACTATAAGATCTAAAATTATATGATTATAAATTTAATAATTTAAGGAGAATAATAAACTATATAATGTTATATTTATTTAAAGACTATTCTAATTTAAATTATAACCGTTCGCGATTTTTTTATAATTAACTATTTTTCTTTAATTTCTATCCTTAAATTTTAGAATTTTCATTATTCCTGTGATGCAGCCCATGCGCAAGCTAGAGATACAAAAGGATAAATTTCTATTGTTTATATAATTTTCCTTAATTACTATTTACTCTCACTTAATATTTTTATGTATATAAACTATACATTTTTTAATACAATATGTTTAGTAGAATTATCTAATATTAGTGTAGATCTAATCCGTCTTTTATATAAGAACTAGATAATACTACAAACACCTGTGCTTGTATGAACGCTATGGCGAACTCTAATCCTGAGAATGCTATAATAAACACTAAAGGTATTAAACCTAAAACAAAGAAGATTATTCCTGAATTCATTATATTATAAACGAAACCGCTTAAAATACTTAATAGCATGTGTCCAGCTGTTATATTAGCTGCCAATCTAAGTCCTAATGAAACATTTCTTGCTAAGTATGAAATTAATTCAATAGTTACTAATAAAGGTAAAAGAGCTAAAGGACAACCGGCTGGCACTAATAATGAAAAGAATTTTAATCCATGTTTTTGGAATCCTAAGATTGTTGCTCCTAATACTATTGTGAAACTAAGAGCAAATGTTAAGGCAAAATGACCTGTAGATGCAAAGCTATAAGGACTGCTCGATAAGACTTATAGACTTATCAAGTTGGACTATATCTTGATCACTCAGTTATTAAACAACCTGAGCAACCTTTCACGTGTAGTCTCTGAGGAACCTACTCGGTGTTAAAGCCTCAACACCTTTGGTTTCCTGCTGATTATTCATTGTTACATCTTTTAGAATTTTCACGTCTTTTATATGTCTTTAGCGCTGCGCAGGCTAATACTATATAACATTATTAAGATCGTACCTAAAAGCATTAGAAACTTCCAGCATATAGTGAAATTTTATGAGTTTATTAATATATTGATCTTCTATATTTCATTTATTCTGCTTCAGAGGGAGAATTTGAAGTATTATGTATTCTATGACTATTCATATTACTTTTAATCATTTTTATTTTCTCTATCCCTTCTTTTGTTAAATGATCTTTAGATTTTATTAACTCAACTACTTTTAAAAAATCCAAGTAATCTTCTTTTTTAGTTCCTATTAAAGGATATTCGTTGAATAATGGTACAATTTTATTGCTTATGTCAGAAAAAACTGAAACAATAAAATGTATTTCTTTACGATTTGAAACTGGATATCATCTTCCACATCCTAAATAATTCACGAAACTCTCTAATAATAAACTATCACGAAAATGTTGAGTTATTGTAAATCTTAAACTTACATTGTTTACTGTTTTATCTTTAGATTTTTGGATAATAACTTGAAAGCTTCCTTCAGCTTCAACAAACCCTCTTAATCAATTAGTATCTTTAATTCATGTAGGTTTAACTACTGGTCTTTCTGCTGGTACTATATTAGGGAATGACTTTGGAAATTTTGGTGATATACCTCAATTTAAAACAGATTTGATACCCACTAATTTAAGTAAACCTGTATTAGTTAAATGTTCTTTTTTTCTATTAAATTAACAGATTGTTTAAATAAAAGGTAATCTGCTAACTTTTGAGTAATTAAAGGATATTTATCAAAATGATATATAATTACTTTTAAATTTTTTAAAGAACTAACACGGTACTCTAATGAATCTTTTCCTAGCCCCCTCCGCAGGCTAGGGCACGCTTGTATATTTTACCTACACCTCATGTTCTTTGTATTGCTTCTAAGATTTTTCTATCCCTATTATGCAAAGAAATTTTAAATATAGGTTTAACTTGTCATCCTGTTAACATTCTACTATCTTTATAAATAGAAGTAGTAAAACATCCTTCTCCATCTACAAAACCTGTAATATAATAAGGATGAAGGTAATAAGAATTCTTGTTGCTAGGAATAGGTTTATCTGGTGAAGTAGATATATAAGCAGATTCTGAAGCAGAAGTAAATGAAGAATATGTTATAACCATATTTTTGGCTGGGGCGCAGCCCATAAATATTATGAAGATATATATTTTAATAGTGACTCATAGGCACCTTTTTACCATTCCAATTAAATTATTTATTAATATAAATACAAATAAAGTATAGATAAATGGGAAATATATTTGTCCACTTCTAGCATTTATTTGATTTGTAACTATATTATGTATTGTTACGTATAAAGATTCTTGAGCTATAGATCAGTTATTACTAACTAATTTGTTATAGTTTGTAGCAACTAAGCTTAATATTAATGTAATAAAGGCTCCTATGATTAAATAGAATCCTATATTAGTTAAAGATAAGTGTAAATTACCACCTAAAACTTCTAAATTTAATATGTCTCTTATTTCGAATTGATCTAAGGGACTTCTTATTTCTGCGAATAAATTTTGGCTAGAAAACATTTAGTAGTATATATTACTACTATTATATATATCTCTTTAGAAAACTAAATATTTGCAAATAAAAATAAATGTAATATTTATTCTTTTTTACATAAAAATGTTAATATATTACAATATAATTAAATAATTATATTATATTTTATTAATAAACATACGTGATAAAAATAAACGAACTATTCTTGGTAGTATGTATTTAGATAGTATGAATAATAGTACTACTATTATTGCAAAGGCAAATACTATTTCATTCATATAATAAAAAGGTGTTAATTGTGGCATATTT